GTACTAGGCAACTGACGCCCTATCGCTGCTTTTCGACAAAATGCGTTTTACTTTATAGCCGATAGCGTATTCCCTAGAAGACCCGTGACCGGCAAAACATTTTATCTTTGACCTGACCTGTGACGTCATCGGTGACCCCGAGGTCAATGAAATTCGACTTCTCACGGCAAATTTGACAGGGCTTTCGAACGCCGTTTGAATTTTGCGGATCCGTCCAGTAGTTTCGGAGATACGAGGGGGCAAAAAATAGCCCCTCCCACCAGGTCGAGTTATTAACAGACCCCACCAGGGCGCGGGTGAAGGGGGGCGTTTTGGACGGCTCTCCCCTACCTACATTTTGTAGAAATTCATAATGACATCACTCTCATCTGCTTTCACTCTTTCTCTCGTTTTCAGCTTCTCACAGCAAATGTTTGAACTGACCATCTTCTTCGTGACAGCCACCAGCACAGAGCTGCCCGCCTGGTGGCTGTCGGCTGACGTGATAGCCTGACGAGACATGGGAAATAGTGAAGTACCATTTAGACCACATATGTAACCTTATATGACATTAGCTGTCTTTGACACAGGATGGTTGATATTGACGTTTTGTAGGGTTTTATCTCAAATTCAACATATGTTTTGCTTTTAACAATGATCCCGAGATGCCTCGTCTGTATTGGCATTTTTACAGCCGCGAACGTATGTTAGAGTCTTTCGGCTCCCGATGACGGAAGGAAGCTGAATATGCACAATGCTAAGGTCCTGGATCATCGGTTGACTTTACAGGTCAGGTCAATGACCCAAATGTCGGGAAAATTGGGACCTCCTGGAACCTTATGCTGCAAGGCTTCTGTAGGTTTTTTTCGAGGTCTCTATTTCGATTTTCGTATTTGTTTTGATCTAAGAGTATGTACACGTACCTACAGGGTGTTTAAAAAACGAAACGATAAAGAATCGTTATATTTCGGGAAGTAATTATGCTAGGAGCATTATGGACGTCAAACGTGTCATTCAAAAGAGAATTGTTGAAAGATTTTTATGGTGCACCGATTTTTTTTTTGTCCGGCACGAATCATGACCATGCCACGTGCAAACATCTCGTGCCCAGAATGCATTTGCATTTGCATTTGGGGTAGGTAAGGTCAGGTCACGCCAACAATTGGGAATTTTCTGGATACCCCTAGTATAATAGTTGTAAATAGTTTTTTTCACAAATTTATTTACATAACTGACAATCACATAGCAGTACACACAGTACACAGAACCGGACACCTGTCGCACGCCCAGCCAGCGGACCGGTCCCAGGTAAAACCTCAGGGCCGGTCACGGATGGGAACGGGCGGGGTGCAAATCTGGCGACAGCTCAGCGTCCGAACCTCGCCCGCCCTATATGTCCTGTTATTACGCTCGTTGTTCCTGTTCGTGAGATGTGTAGCTAATGAGACAAAGTTTTTGATGCACCTCTACCTTTTTCTTTTCTGTATCGGCCATGCCCACTCGCATATTACCAAACTCTGCCCTTGTCATAAAATCACAGAATGAAAACATATCAGCTATTCCTATACCATGCTGTGCCACTTTTGTTCTGTAAATATAATATTTCCCTAGCAAAAACAGTCTCTGAATAGCAGCTGCAGCATCAGCCATATGAAATGTCTCATTTTCCTCGAATCCAACAATTATTGCACGTTTGCTTAGAACAACATTGTAATGCAATCGCTCCCTGACCCTGCTCACCATTGCTCTCCAAACACATTGAACCTGTTCGCACTCAGCAAAAAGATGCAGAAGCGTCTCTCTATCTGCATTGCAGAATGTACACAATGGACTTTCTTCAGTGAATTTTGACACGAAAACGTTTGTCGTTAATATTCTGTGTACTAATCTATCCTGGAACCATCTAAGAGTAGTATTTTTAGTACAGCTCGCAAATCTGTTGTAAATGAGGTCCCATTCTAGCTGACACTGTAGATCGTTATTCCATTTTATTTGTGATTTTAAACCATCCCGTGTTTTAAAGTACTTATGCTGTAGCATTGTCTTATAGTATATCCTACATCCTCCCTTACATCCTAAGAGAGTTGCCAACGCTGGCTGCATTTTAGGTCCAATGTCATGAGGTGGCAACTCCCCCGTAAATGCTGTCCTTATTACTCTAACAATGCCCGCGAATTCAAGCTGTTGGAGACGCAAGCCATAAGTGTTGTTTATTTCAGCAATATTCATAAACCTTCTTTCATCCGTCCAAATGTCACCTACATTGGTACAACCAGCTCTGTATAGACGGCCATTCCACATAAATTTGTGATTACGCTTGAAGAAGGAGGACAAAAACAAAGGTTGCGTCTTAACATTTTCCGGTAAGACTTCAAAACACTTTTTGAAGGCATCCCATTTACTAAAAACCTCCCGCCAGAACGGATTGATACCATCTGAAACCGAACCTACAGCTTTCGAGAAGCTTGCATCACCACACGAGAAAAGAATATCATTTTTACATAGCTGCATTTCTGCTAAAAACTTCCAAGCATCTTCCGAGCATACATATCTTTTCATCCAGGAAATTTTCAAAGAATCATTATATGTTTTCAAACATGGGATATCAAAGTCCCGCATCATAAAGCGTCGCTTGATCTTATCAGGACCCTTGTTCCACACGAACTCAAAAAAACTTCTCTGCAACCCATAAATGGAGCTCTCAGGAGGGCATGGTAGCATCATTAATGTATTGGATTAATGTAATAGTTGTAAATAGTTAATAATAGTTGTAATAGTTGTAGTATCATGGCTGTTTACTGCCACTGACAGCTTTGCAGCATGTTACTTGGACATATGTTACACCCTGAATAATCACAGACATGCTTGAAACCAATTACAATGCAGAAACATACATACACCTCAATCCAGTAGGTATACCGTATATCTCGCCGAAATCACACCGAAACTGCTACTTCGGATGAACGTGACCTCGCATGTCACGTCATAACTTTATGTGGTGTCCTGGTCCAGGCTTGGAAAATCTGCTGTATTGGTCTGCTCAGTGTTCAGGTGTTGTGGAGATATTGCCGAAAAAGCCTGAAGTGGGCTTCCTGTACCGGTGAGCGTTAAACAGACATGTGCATGGATCCGAGAAAATGGATCTGGGATCTGATCCCACGGGTCCTGATCTCGGATCCGACGGGATCATAGATCCAGCTCTGTAATTTATCGAGAGATCCGTAGGGATCACAGATCCGAGTCTCATTTTTTGCTTGAGATCATGTGAGATCACAGATCCTCACTTATTTTTTGTCAACACATATATCCAAAAAAAAAAAAAAAACTTGTTTCAACTCACAAACGTTCTGTTTTAGTGATTTTATTTGATCGCACGTCATAATCCATAGTTTTGTGTCACTTATTGGCATAGAAACCCTTTAAAACATGGTTTCAAATATGGTGCATGGTGGGATCCACTCAGATCATAGATCCATGTTCTTAATTTATCGTCAGATCATATGAGATCATAGATCCAAGATGTATTTTTCACGCCGGATCTGGTGGATCATAGATCCCTACCTGTACTTTGCTTCGAGATTCACTGAGATCATAGATCCATCACTCGGATCCATGCACATGTCTGGCGTTAAACCTTTCGAATTCCCCGGAATAACGAATTCCCCAATCAGACGGTAGAGACGATGACCCGCACTACAAATACTATTTATCACTACACAGGTACTTGGCTTTCGGCCTTCGGGCGAGTTCTTTTGGCACTAGTCCTTTGCCATACGAGCCTTTGTAACGCACTAGCGCCTTAGCTACTATTGTTTATCCTTTAACTTTTTTGTTGGTAACTCAATGCTTCATGCCTTACTTCCACTAAACTGTTGGTGGCAGCTGGTATTCCAATAACGTGACGCCCTAAACCGTTTGATTTATCTTTAAATTCCTAATGATACAGAATATCTCGCCATTACACAAAGCTTCTATATCCGGGGATTTAGTGCATCTCGTAGTCTCCACACATTGGGGTCGAATGGCGTGGTACGCTCATTGGCGGCACCGTCTCCTGGTCAAGATATGTAGCCCCGGGCAGCGAATCCGATCCTCGTCTAGGCAGTCGTCATTACCGGGAACGGAATCTTCGTCATCCGACACCGCCCAGGGGCACGGGACACACGAGGCGGGGGCGTACCATGGAGTCGCTTCTCATGTTAGGCCCGACCGCCCTGAGGTCGGAAATTATCATTTACCATCTGGGTTAAATTCATCTGGGTTAATCCTTAGTAGGGTTGAATCAGAAATGTGTTCCTGGAACCACCTGATACTGCGCCCTCACGGGTGCGAAGAAATCGCGCCTCATAAAGCGATTACGACCCTTGCCAGGGCTGGAACATCCTTGACCTTTGCGTCCACCGATGACCGCCATTACGGAGCGCCGCCGCCGGTGCGGTGCAGTACAAGTCATTATGGTGCCGTCGGTAGCCGCGCTGTACTGACGCGTCGCCACCGGCAGTGGCCGCCGGCTGCGGCCGGTATGGCGCCCTCGTATCGCCGGTCCGTTGTCGGCCATTCGATCTAGAGCGCCGATAGCGGAGTAGGCCTTGTGGCGTTTACTTATGGGAACTAACTAACTAGACGTACCTTTTTAGTAACATAGATTATAGAACACATTACTGGATTAATGTCCTGGAGGAACATTCATCTCTAGATTTGTACTGCAATTACATATACCGATGCATATTTGTTTGAGTAAAAAGTAGAAAGGCAGTAACAGTAGACGGGTCGTAACATTTTTGGTGAGCAAAATAGTATTATTACGGCAAGAAGCGGCTGTTTGATGTCAGATGAGTCTATTCAGCCACACTGCGTACCAGTGTACTAACACATCGTCTGATCTACTCAGTCGCTTAACTTGTCACAACTGCTCTTACCTACATATATACTGAATCTCTTGATCAGTTGTGCTACCTCACGATACCGTCTGTGTGCGTGTCAGAGCACCTCACTACCTCGTTTGTTTGCGTTTTTTCCAGGCGGAGTGATGCCTGTTTGAGCTTGGCTCGGCCCGAGTCAGCCAGAGACCGTGTGCCCGTCTCACCATGTCGGCCTGGAGCAGCCCCGGCCTGGTCGAGGACGATGCCTACTTCAACAACATGGACGCGCGCCAGCAGAAGATGGAGAAGCAGCGCCGTCTGATCGAGGAGCGCCAGAAGAAGAAGCGGCAGACGCCGACCGTGCTGCAGCCGTCGGACCGGGCGCAGTCGGCGCGCGGCCGGCCGGGCTCGGCGCTCTCACGGCCCGGCACGGCCAACGGCGGCCTGCGCGGCCACGATGGGCCCATGCAGTTCACCTCGGAGCGCGACGACCCGGACACGCTGACGGCCGTCGAGGTGCTGCCCGCCTCCCGGGTGTTCGACGAAGAGCTCGACATCGAGAGCGAGGAGATTCCGGGCGGCGTGTCGGGCCGGCGCGAGCAGCCGGGCCGCCAGCTGCGCACGCTGAACCTCTCCGTGGACGACTCGGAGGAGGAGGAGGCCGAGCAGTCGCTGCCGGTGATACCGACGGCGAGCGAGCCGGCGCCGCCGGCGGCCGCCGACAGCCCGCCGCCGCTGCGGCCCGGCAGCGCCGAGTCGGGCACCGCCTGGGGCGAGCTGGCCACCGGCGTCACTGGTGTCGACTCGGCGGACGGCCTGGAGGAGTTTGTGCTGGCGCCGGCCGCCCAGGGCGTGCAGATCAAGTGCCGCATCACGCGGGACCGGAAGGGCATGGACCGCGGCCTGTACCCCACCTACTTCCTGCACCTGGAAAAGGAGGACGGCAAAAAGGTGTTTCTGCTTGCCGGCCGGAAACGGAAGAAGAGCGCCACCAGTAACTATCTTATCTCAACCGACCCGACCGACCTGTCGCGGGGCGGCGAGGCCTTCGTGGGTAAGCTGCGCTCCAACCTGCTGGGCACCATGTTCACCGTCTACGACAACGGCTTGCCGCCGAGCAAGGTGCGCTCCGGTGACAGCAGCGAGGAGCAGCGGCCGCGGCAGGAGCTGACCGCCGTCGTGTACGAGACCAACGTGCTCGGCTTCAAGGGGCCGCGGCGGATGACCGTCATCATACCGGCCATGACCACCGACCACAAGCGGATCCCCGTGGAGCCGGCCACCGAGGCCGAGGGCCTGCTGGAGCGGTGGCGAAACAAGCGCATGGACAACCTGCTCGAGCTGCACAACAAGGCGCCAGTCTGGAACGAGGAGACCCAGTCGTACGTGCTCAACTTCCACGGACGCGTCACGCAGGCCTCCGTCAAGAACTTCCAGGTGGTGCACGACAACGACCTCGAGTACATCATCATGCAGTTCGGCCGGGTGGCGGAAGACGTCTTCACCATGGACTTCCGCTACCCCATGTGTGCGCTGCAGGCGTTCGCCATCGCGCTCAGCAGCTTCGACGGTAAGCTGGCCTGCGAGTAACGGCCGCGCCGGCCGATGACGGGAAGCGATCGCACATTCCGAGTCTGCCCGGCGCAGCGGGCCGACCGACTGACCTGATCTAGTCACAGCAGGAGACGGTGCGCGCCCCAGCGGGGCACCAGACACGACCGAATACTCGCCCCGGGGCGCACCTTTTATTCCAGGAGAGCTCAGAGCGTGCGCTGCTCAGTGGCCGCCGCACGCCGCGCGACGACCAGCGAGCTTTGACGAATCCGAATTGATAGCGCTCGGCAGTGGGATTATTTATGAGATTATGTCATCCGCCTGACGTACTTACGCGGAAATTCGTGTGTCTTATTTACACATTGTCTTACTATTACTACTATAGCTTTTTGCTGTATTTCGTGTGTCTTTACGGTGACAATACCGAACTGTAAATTGGTCTGTATCAATCGCACAAACTTACCGGTGCCAGCCATGCCACCGTGCCCAGATTAAGTCTAGTCATATTTGTTTGATTCCGGGAGGGGATGGGTCACAGAGGCCGCCGCGGTGCCAGTCCGTCCAGTTGTTGTTAGCACCTGTGAGCCGTGGTATGTGAGCTGCCCAATAAACAGCTGCAGTAGCAGCCTGTCCGCCGTCTGTCCAAGACGTGTATCGACCGGCCGTCCAGCTGACTCTGTCCCTCAATCTGCCACTGGGGAGGGGTCGATGCTCAGTTCGTTTCTGCGCGGCTCGACTGGTGACGCACGAACTCGCAGCTGTTTTTCATTCGCCGCAGCGGTCGGCCGGCCGTCTCCGCCTCCAGTCCGCACGGCCACCTTTTGCGCCGGGCTGCGCGACTGGACCGATGGTATCCATCACAAACGGACGCTCGGTGCTCGCTGCAAGCCGGCCAGCGGCGCCTCCGTCCGTTGAACTTTGCTGCTGTGCTGCCAGCCCGTCCCAAATCCGCTACGGCGTTGGAGCGGACATTGCTGGTGACAGTTTATCATTTGATGAGACAACCATGCGGAGGCATAACAAAAATACTGTCGGTCATCTACGGTGTTAAGACTTATCGCTTCCAAAAGTTCCAAATGGCTACAGTGACAATCCCCAGATGTGTCTGGTTTATGCTGTAACACGAAATCGGCCCAATTATTATCTGCGAATCAATTTCACCATTTTGATTGCAACCGATCATTTCTTTGTAATTAAGTGACTTAATTGATCCAAACACAGAATATGTCAACGCTCCTAAGTCCTAACTGACTGTTCACTGTGATGCGCGCAGAGCCGCCGGGGTGCCGCTGTTGAATAACTGATTGGAGCGCGCAGCCGCGGGCCGCGGTGCACCTGTCGGTCGCCGCGCCCGCCGGCGACACCGGTACCGGCCATCGATCCTGACTGGACGCCGGTCGCGCCAGCTCGACGTGCCGCTGCGCTCGGTGACAGCTCGGCAGCGGCCCCCGACCCGACCAGGGGCTGTCTGGGGATCCCCGACTGCGGGGTACGGGACACAAGACACTGTCCGTGTTCGCCAGCTCGACATGACGAGACGAGCGACAGCCGGAAATGAAGATACCACCATTCTTTGTCGGGTGATATGGGTGTCAGTCCCACGTCATTACATACTTTGGGTGTAGCGACCGGCGAGCGAAGTCGAGGCTCGAGCCTGCCCGCCCGCTGCTGACAAGTCAATAACAACAGGAGCCATTGATCACAGCAGAACAATGCGCCGTCATGGATCGCGTGTGACGCCCCCCACGGTCGGGGGATGGGGGCGTCAGATGACGTAAGGTCGCCGGTCAGGTCGAGTCGCGGCGCGCTGTAGCCGCCCCGCGCTACCGTCGCCATGGCTGGCGGCGTCGGATTATCCGGCGACCACCGCCAGTCGATACCACGGCGGCCACTCTGTACCGGCGTCAACAAAGCACCGGCTCACCGAGACACGAGCGGTACTCGACGAGCCCCTTGTCCACACCAGAGGGGCATTGGTAGGGAACGATTGCAATTCCTAGGGAGAAGTGTCGCCACGCATTTCTCTGAACTCGAAAATCGAAATGGAAGGATAATTCGCGGTACGGTCTGAATTAAAGCTTGGTTGAAGCGTTTCGCAACTTATGTTGATGAAAGTTGGAACACATTTATAGTGATTATGAAAACGTTACACATACAGGTCTTTAACTTTGATTGCATTTTGATAGATCGGGGATCTATCGGAGGGTACTGGCTGTAATTATTTAAACCCCGAATTCCCGTATTATCCCAAACATCCACATGCTGCTCTCATCACTGCATTGCGATATGGCGCTGGACGATTCATGGAAAAAACAGCCGATATTGCCATTCTTTCTCAGGTACATGGGCATATCAAAATAAACCGAAGGAAAGACGTTCGCTACGATACAAGAAGTTAAAAACATGGCACATGGCATTCACGTGGTCTTAGCTCGGAGAACAGTCACTGCGATAGGTAACCCTAGAATTCAGGGACCGCAAGAGGCACTGTCCAACATCCCTTCATCAGCATCCCTGTGCTGCACTGGGTCGCCGCATACGTCTCGGTCCACGCCGCCCTTTTAATTCCCTGCCATCTCACAGCTTTACCTACCAGATCGCCAACAGGTGTCTCCGCCGACCTGCCGCACTCAGTCGTCCAGGTTCTTGAACAGCGAGGCGCGCGGACACGGCCTCTCGGCGGCGCTTTTCCGTTGGGCTTTGTTGGCATCCGTGCGGATCTGCTTTAGGAGCAGCGCGTAGGAGGTCTCCAGCAGCGGGTCGGCGTGCGCCAGCTCGGGCCCGTTCCAGCGGATGGCGATCTCCTTTGCGGCGTTCTCCGACAGGCCGTCACCGCCGGCGGACGCCACCTCTCCGATCACGGCCGTCACGGCCTCGATGACGCCACGGGGCGGCGCCAGCAGCCACAGGCGCACCCAGGCGTCCAGGTGGTGGCGCAGAGACGGCCGGGCCCACCGCAGGTTCCACAGCCGCCCAAACAGCTCCTCGTTGTCGAGCGTCGCCCGCGACGACATCTGCTGTAGCACTCGCACCACCGTGTCAGGGCTGTTGTGCAGCACGGCGACCTCGGACGGTATCATGCGGCGCGCCATCAGCCGGCGGCAGGCGGCGGTCACGTCGGTCGCCTTCGTCACAGAGTCGCGCAGGTCGGTCACCGCGCGCAGGTCGTCAGACGAGCGGAGCATTAGGTCCCGGCCCGAGGGTACCAGCCTGCCGCCCGGCGACAGCGCCGCCTCCACCGCCTCACAGAACGCCGTGATGTCCGACGCCTGAAATCAACAGATCAATTGGATGAAAAATTGGCGTAAAAAACCTGCATAGGTAAACAGAATCTCCTTGGTAATGGTGCCAAATTGCAACACAAGTGTTTCGCAGCATAGAATGCGGTAGAAAATCACTGGCAAATTTAATATTTACAATTTTCACTCTCGATTTTTTTTTTTGCATGAATCGACACATGAGTTGCTTCATAAATATAAAGTCATCTGAAATCAAATCCCGATATCTTTAAACACACCCGACGACCCAGCAGCACCACCTACCAGACATCCTTTAGAGAGGACCTCCGCATGGTGAGCCAGCGTCGGAAACAGCCTCTGCAGCTCAGCGTCCGTCAGGCTTTCTCCGCAGCTGAGCGTCTTGCACGTATTCACACAGCTGCGCATGCAGCGCATGGTGGCCGCCGCGCCGGCGCCGCCGTACCGGGCCTCCCAGGGCGGGAGCCGCCGGCGCGCCTGCCCGCCGCCGCCGCCGCCCGACTCGTTCAGCAGCCAGTAGAGGTCGCACAGCGCCGCCACGCGCGCCTTGAAGTCGCCGTCTGCGGTGAGCCACACGGTGAGAGGGCGCGGTGGTGGACCGCCAGGGACAGCGGGGCTCGGCCAACATGTGCAGGGACAAAAACCATAAGAGGACGACACTTGAACAGCTTATTCACGATAAACAATGTAAATTTCGTGGTCATGTGCTATCGGTTTGCACGCCTTTTCTCTTCCCGCAGTCTACAAATGTAAATCGTCATGCTAAGAAATGGGATCGCGGAAGTTTCACAAACCAAGAATCAAGAAAGCGTTACAGTTCAACTAAGGCAGATATTAACGAACCAGCAAATGCTCATTACAAACAAATTTTGCAGTTAAATTGACCTCAAAACTGTTTGTAATGCACATTTAACCATTGCTGATTTGTCTTGGGTAAAGATACGTGGTTTGAGATTGATTCCTTTCGCTTATATCGTGGTAAACAGAGAAGGAATCGGTCCCACAAGGAATATAAAAAACTAACCTGCAAGCTTTTCCCGAGCTACGGCGTCATTGGGATTATCCCTTTGTTCCTCCAAGCGCTTCCCCAAAACAGCTTCCATCCGCTTCCACTTCTCAAAGAACTTTTCGAGCGATGCAGCCTTCTCCGAAACGGTAGCCGTGTCAGAAAAAGGTCGCACTACCGTGATGGCTCCATCTGGCCCGGCAGGAGCCGGCGCCGGCCGCTCGGAGTCACCACCGGCCGCGAACCGAGCACTGATGAGCTCTACATCGCTGATCACCCGCGATACCCACTGGCAGTCCGGCTGGGCGCGCGCCTGTGCCTCGGCCTGCGAGGACGTCGGCTCACTGGTCCGCAGCGGCACCACGAGCAGGCCGGCGGGGTGCGGCCGGCCGGTGGTGTCGCGCATCAGCCTCAGAAGCCGAGAGGGCACCCGGAGCACGCGGTGCTCGTCACCAACAGCGATAGCGGCCAGCTGCTCGGCCGCGCGCACCCCGATGGCATCCAGTGCCGCCTGGATCTTCTTGGCCGTCCAGTCGCCGTACAGGTCGGCCACCTGCCAGACGCCCACCACGAAGCTCTGCACCAGGTGCTCGGGTGGGGCGGCGGGCACCACGGTCAGCACCATCACCACGCTGAAGTGCATCCCGTTCACCGTCACCTTGCTGGCCAGCACCGACACACACGGCTGGGTGGCGATGTGCTCCTTCAGTTTGTTCATTATCTCGCTGTAGAATGTGTGTCGCGCCAGCGGCAGCAGTGCCTCCGGGTCGGTGTGGCATATCTCCGCCCCATTCAGTCTCTGCAGTGCGATCAGGTCGGAGAAGCTCTGCTCCGAGCCGGAGAACCGAGTCACTAAGTAAGCGGTGCGCAGCAAGTTCATGGCTCTTGGGAACTCATTCTGATGCGTCAGTTTGGGTGACGTGTGTCTCTGAGCCAGCTTCATGTGCACCGATGATCGAAAGAGGTGGGATTTCAACGCAGTCTTCAGCGATCTGAACGCATTGGGCAGCGATTCGTTGTAATCGAAACTTGTTCCGAGGCTCATATCGTACTGGAACCACCCGGCGGTGTTCCGTTTCTGGTGGCCGACGGCCGCTGCCGGGTCCCTGCGCAGGCACAGGGAGCAGTACACCACGCCTTTCTGCTCGTCCACCACGATGACGCCGCTGGACGCCTCAGAGATGTCCTTCATGCTGCGCGCCGCTCGCAGCTGCTTCTCGTCGCAGCCGTCCTTGGCCCGAGCGGACCGCGGCGCCCCCTCCAGCAGTTCCATAATGCGTACCGTGTTCGCCCTGACCTCGGCCAGCGTACCCATCGCCAGATCCCTGAACTCGGGCTCCTGGTTCTTACGACTACTGGTGACTTTTTTCTTGGGCGG